TCTTGCTACCCCGGCCGCGTCCTCCCCCGCGTTTGGCAGCCAGGAATATCGGAATTTCGCACGGCGATCGTGCGAATGTGTCCCGGGGACCCCAGAAGAAGTCGTTCTGGGATGGACACGCGGCCGGGTAATGGAAGATGTGATAATTTAGTATGCACGGTCGGAGTTTATTTGAATTTTATTGGCGAACTCGCTGTCACGTGGACGTAGGAGAGTGGCGGCGGCGATGCCGCAGGGGGGTTCCTTTTTCGTTTTATCGGATCGGGGACGAGACGACGCTCCTCCCGTTTTCCCGAGGGGACACTTCCGTCCGACCAATATCGCTCCTCTTCCTCCGTCGCTCGGGCCTTCTCGCTCCCCGTTTCTACCCCCTCCGCCCCCTTACCTCTTTATCCCTCTCTCTCTCTCTCTCTACATCTTTTACTCTCTCTCCTGGGGCGCTTCCAATATCTTTCTAAGTTCTCGGAGCCGGCCATGAATAAACTATTCCCCGACTTTGAATATCTGAGCGTTTTGCGCGGGAATGGGACCGCCATCGAGGGACCGACCACAGAAAGGACGGGAATGGGTGATATCGATTGATCGACATCGCTCGCGGGAGAAGGAAACGTCGCAGTTGAAAGTGCGATCCCTCAATTTTTGAAAAACTTATTTTTGAGAAAAAAAAGTGAGGAAGAGGGTGCAGATTGCTTCGAGCCAATTTGCCTCGAATTTTTCGACTATCGGAAGAGATTGATAACTTCAACAGCCAGCTGGTTGCATTGTGCAACGCGAGAGATTCCTCTGCTCGATATTATTCCATTATCGTGCACGATCCGCGCATCAACGTTTCTTCAATCGATAAATAGACTTAGAAATTTTTCGGCGGATTGTCTTCGCGCGTTAATTCAAAGATGTTCTAATTATCCCGGTTATACCTGAAACTTGTATCGCCGATACAATCTAATCTCTGGAGATTTCGTGGAACAAAAGTTTCAGGAAGCGCCAAAGTTCGTTAACACGTTAACAAAGTGTATTCTTCGTGGTTCGCGTCGGCCATCAGGCGAACGACGTTAATACCCGACGGAATTCCTCATTCCTGATCTCGATAGCGGGGCGATTAATTTTTCGTGCCGTCGAGGATGATGAAATCAAGCAGTCAGCATAATGAGTAGCGTTGTCTGCCGCGCAATTCATCGGATGTCGCGGCAGCGAAGGGACGCGGGGGTGGAGAAGGACGGCGGGGTTATTAATATTCAGAACGAGAAGCGGGAGTCGAGAGCAGTGCCGAGTGACAAATACCTAGAGCCCCGTCCCAACCCCGGCGCGGCTCAACTCTGTAATTAACGCTAATCTCCAGGCCGTTTCTGCGACACCGTACCACCCACTTCGTCTTCTCTCCCCGTGTCTCTGTACTTACGGGGCGGAGGGTGGCTTTAAGCTCACCAGTCGATTCTCAGACAAGAGTGCCTCGGTGTTTTCCCGCTAAGATATAAGCTCCGCGGCAATTTTACGCTTTCCTTCATTTACGTTTTGTCGCGCGCTGCGACTCATTGAAAATTCAATGACGTTTTGTAATGAACGCGACCTCCCCCGGTTGCTGATAAACCCTTAGGAAATGCATATACCTACTGCATGTAGACCGTACGAAACCGCTGGAAAGTCAGGGAAACTGCCCCATTGTTTGCGCATTCCGCCTTTCAGTGGAGCAAGAAAAAAAATGCCGCATGGGCGCGGCACCTCGTCGCAGTTCTTGAATATTTTTGTGAACATTACCACCCCGCCGTTCATTCGTCACGGACGGTACGCATTTAAATTTACAAAACTGTATACTGTGTTACTAACTGCATATGTGAATGCGCATAAATTTCTCTCGCGGAGCTCATAGAACTTTGGTGAAATTCTTTAACGGGCAAACTTTAAGCCGTAAACTATAAGGATAAAAAAAAGGAGGAAAAGCTTTGACATTTTTTAAACTACGAAGTACACATCGTTACGGTAGTTAGAGGAAAAAACACATTCAAAAAGCCGGAAGAGAATAGAAAATTAATATAGAAATATAAGTAATGCTCCCTGATGTGCAATCAACAAGTTTGCAGTTGTAAATTAAAATTAAAATTAATTTTAATAAATAAGTAAATACTCCAAACATCGAGAGAGAGAGAGAGAGAGAGACAGGTACGTCGGTCGATGTCTGTCGGGTGGAAAACTTATTTCGCCCTACAGATACAAAGGCATTTTCTCAAAGCCGTGCATCACGCACGACGAGCAAAACTCGGCTGAAGCGCGGAAGTACTTGATTAAAGATACACACATTCTAGATCCTCGACCGAGCTGGCGCACCTCTTATCACGAGAGATTACTCTGGACAGTGTACAACAATTTAGGTGGCGGGAGCGAGGGTTGGAGAACGGACGTGCCCAGGTACTTCTGGCCGTCGCAAGCTGCTCTAATCGAGTCCCCCCAAATGTCCTGAAACCCACCGGTGTTTCTTCCGCCGAGCAATGCGAGAGCGAGAAAGAGACGTGGCCCGGGGGAAGGGGGTGGGATACGCGAGCAAGAGAAAAGGCGGCCAATCCAATTCCGCGCTCAAGCCCGACCGTCGTGATGGCGGAGGGTGGCGAAAAAACGCAGCCACGGCCGGGGCGCAAGGCGAGCGAGGTAGGTCTCCAGGCTTTTTTGCGTTTAATCAAGGATATTCGCGGTCGGCTGGCTCGCTATTTCAGTTCGCCGAGTGTTAACCGAGGCGCGCAACCACCACCGAGTATCATACCGCAGAAAGTGGATGAAGGAATCTTCGTCCTTTGACCTCCCACGGGCGCTCCTGCCGCGCGATCATTCGTAACAGTCCTCATTGTAAATTACAGCGCGTTCGTATCCTTGTTTTTGCTTACTGCGTATTCCATATTCTTCAGTTTCTTGCTGTGGTTAACTAAATTAATGTGCACCGTATACGCATATGGACAATTTCGAGAGGACAAAGGGTGGAATAAAATTGTAAGAGACGACGTTACGTCATCCCGAAAGGGAATCTCAGGATTACCTGCACGGAAAAAGCATGGCTGTTGAGTTAAACGAATGTTGCTTGACTTAAACGTTGACGTCACGGGGGTTCGCTGCCACAAACATAAATAATTCACTCAACTGTATTTTCTATGGATTGTAATTTTAAGCATTGAGCTAAATATCCTGATTATTGAGACAACTGTCTCATATTTTTTATTCGTTAATACTGATGTTGTTTCAACGGTGTTCAATCGTAATAATTATTTTAATTACATCGATCTCGTTGACACATCATATTTTTCCGAGTATACATTTTTATTGCCAAAAAATTATTTCACAATAAAAAATAATTTAACATCGTAATGACGTTTACGTCTACGTCTTATAACTAGCACTTGTCGAATGGCACATGGATCACAAATATGACGAGTATTATGTCTCGATATAATGAATCGGAATCGGATTAATCCTGATCAACTAGATAAAGACCTCGTGCTGTTAGGCCAAGGAATCATTTGATTCGTAGAATCTAATAAAATCGATTAGAGACGCGACACCCCTTTCACCGCCGTCATGATAGTCTAGACGTGATGTAGCAGGAGACGACAGCTCTAATTTCGTCCTTAAGCATCAAGTATCCCCGCTGTCACTCCTGTAAATTACTTCATCTCGATGACGCGCTGATCGTCGAAAACACCCTCTGAATTTCGAGGGAGTCACTCAATGGGGGTCACTGACATTCTTTCTCTGAGGAACCATAGACTTTCGTGCTGTCGCGCGATAGTCACCGATATTTGAAGATACATGTGTGTTGCGGCTTGGAAAATAATTATATCTTCTAGATGATGGAACTTGTTGATAAAAATAATCCAAAATTATAAAACGGATGAAATTTCATTTCTGGAGTTTAGTTAACACATATTTGGACGCGTGCACAGTGCGATGGACAGAATGGTTGCCATACTTTTTTTTAATGAGTTTTTTTAACTCGAGAAATAAATCGAAAGCGCTCAAAATAGCTTCGGAATGGCCATCGAGTAAAATATTCCTCGGAGAAGATTTTGAACCGTAACCCTCAAACCAAATGCATGTTCCTAGACTCATTAAAAAAAAAAACAGTGTCGCATTCTTCCATCACTGTACATAATGTACCAAATATAATTTAAAACATATTTCAAGTATACATAATACAATTAAAGAATGCTGCTTATAAAATAAACTCTTGAGTTTCATTCTAATACCGGAAACATAAATGGCGACACAGCAGCCGGATTTCAAGAGTACAATATCAATGCACGGATAATGGTGAGAACGGCAAAGGGGTTACCCCTTCAGCAGTTAAAGCCGTGATAATCGTGGATGACGCTGGTCGAAACAATGCGCCCGGCATCCGTAGCTCCAGCGCAGGGCGTGAGTTTCGTCTACGAATTGGGAGAAAAGCGGGGCGACGTCAGAGTACGGTGATGTATGGCTGAAGCGGGCTCGGGAAATACCACGTGCCCCGCCACCTAGTACACAGCAGCCCGTGAGGATTAGGGTGGCGACCTACTATATTCTCTAACGCACCGTTTCATGATGCAATTGGATTCCTTCGGCCATCATCACCCTCTCTTTCACTCACCCTTAAATCCTTCGTCACTGACTTTAACTACGGGATCATTTCTCTCGTTTATGAGATTCTTCTATTGAACATTTCCCCGCAATAGGATATAAGCAATTTGGAATTCTCGATGCAGTGTGCGATATTTTATTATGATTAATAATTTAAATAAATGCCAATATATAAACAATGATTAATAATTTAATAATTAGAACTTGGGACCACATTTTTACTTAAATTCAAAGACCACATTTAAGGCGATCAAATAATAATAAATAATAAAATTATATTAAGAAATTAATAATAAAATTTACAAGGTAACATATGTAAATAGTTTATGGATACTTGAAGAAAATATATAATAAGTGCAAACAAGATACAGTATCATTTATCGATAACACCGATTACTTTCATATCAACGTCACTTGAGAGCACTCTACTTCTTCATTTCACCGTAGCGCTGCAGGAAATGCATTAAAATAAGCCAAGAGTATTCAGACTATTCAGTGTTAGAGGTCAGCTTTGTGCAGCACTGGAAAACATGACAAATTCTGTGATACGTGTTTATCTGTTTTTAGTTTACTTATTATTAGGCAATGAAGCAAAATCGTATCATGCTGTCGTTATTATTCATGGGGTTCTCACAGGAAGCGATAGCATGGAACTCATTAGCAACAGAATTCAGGAGGTAGGACAGGATGGCACTGGTGACAACGAAACAGAAGGACCTACAGACGTCGCAGAGTGATTTTTGCATTGCGCAACTGTGGACTGATTTCGTTACTTTGACATTTTTCATTTCTTTTTGCATAAATTTTCTCACCCCTCTTTATTGATAATGTAATGCTCTGTTGTATTATATATATCATTTGTTAATAAAGACATTTTATTGTTGTGTAACCATTTTCATTTTCCAAATGTTTTATGCAACTTTGTGCATCTTATTACCAAGGCAAACACAATTATTTTTACGTTAAAGGCTAATCGCTTTTATAAAAAGATTTTATAACTCCTGATCTATGAGTTGGCAAGGATTTAATCTTCCTATTAATCTGTACGTTCACAGATGCATCCTGGAACTCCAGTCTACAACACTATAAGGTTTGCAGGCTGGAGTAGCTTGGAACCAATGTGGCAACAAGTAGAAGAAATAGGCATGGATGTACTTTCCATAAGTGCTGCATTTCCTGAAGGGATTAATTTAATAGGTTACAGCCAGGGTGGTTTATTAGCTAGAGCCATATTGCAAAGATTTCCCATGCATAATGTTAGGAATTTTATTTCCCTGAGCTCACCGCAAGCGGGGCAATATGGAAGTACGTAAAATTATGATATTCCAATAGAGAAAGGAGCGAAGACTTCTCTCTAATTGTCAAATCTCGTTTCAGCGCGTTTTCTGCATTTGATTTTTCCCGATTTAGTTTGTGAAACTGCTTACGAGCTCTTTTATTCACGTCTTGGACAACACACCAGTATTGGAAATTACTGGAATGATCCTCATCACCAAGTAATTATTTGACACATTAACGCTCGGTTTCACCAACGCTGTTTAACTTTAAGCTTAGCTTAATTCGTTCTTTGTCTTATTAACTGTTACTAAAGCTTAGCTTAATTCGTTCTTTCTCTTATTAACTGTTACTTTAAAAAAAGACAAACGTGAATTAAACTAAAATTAAAGTTAAGCGACGTTTGGTGAAACCGGACCTCGGTACATTATATTCTAATATGCATTTTAATTTAATATATTCTAATATACATTTTTTTTCAGGAATTGTATTACAAATTCAGCAAGTTTCTGCCATACGTGAACAGTGAAGTCGAGATTTTCAACAATTCCGACTTTAAAACAGGTTTAACTAAGCTGAAACGTATGATACTCATTGGAGGCCCCAACGATGGCGTTATCACTCCATGGCAAAGCAGTCACTTTGGATATTACGACAATAACAACACTGTGATAGATATGCGTGATAGATCTATTTATAAAGATGACATGATTGGTTTGAAAACATTAGATAAACAGAGCAAATTGAAGATCATCACAGTGCCTGGAATTCCTCATTCTGAATGGCATAAAAATATCTCTATAGTAGATCAATTTTTGTTACCATATTTAGATTAAATTTAACGAAATATAAGTAAAATAAGTTCGAGAAACTTGCCAAATATTATAGTAAAAGACCTAAAAAAAAATTTTTTTATTTTTCGAATAGACGCTTCTTTCTCTACGTGTGATACTCGCTCGACTGATTTTATACGTGAAGAATTACTCGTGTAAGCGAATTACTTTTCACGTAAATGTATAAATGTAATCAAATCTTATTCCAAAAGTTTGTACAGACCATTCAGGGACACCCTGTATGTATAAAGAACACTGTCGATCTCGCCATGCTATACTTGACGCAAGACACTACCGTGTCTCATAATACGTGTCATATACCTATAATTAAAATACAAAATTTTAATCTAACGGCCAAACAGTAATAAGCAAGCAAAATTTGAATGTTCGATGATAAATGTAAAGTTTAATTTTAAAATAATACAATGTGAGATGTGAATATTTTTCGTAGTTAAGGAACGCATTTATAAAATGATTGGGAAATATCTAGAATGTTAAAAAAATTATATATTGCATATTCCAAATGGCCTGTAAATTAATAGGAAAAGATTTGTTAGTAACTTTTACTATTAATAAATTTATTCATTTTACTATTACAAAATTATCATTATATTACTATTATTGTGTTCATTCTTTGTCATGACTATGCTCCTCGGGGTATTTTGTTAAAGTATTGTTGGCACATTGCCGTGTATTATTAAATGTCTATATATTACATAGTAATTCTTAAGAAAAAAATTTTTATCACATACATTTATAATCAGTATAGTCCGCATAATATTTAGAACTTTTTATTATGTGTAAAACGCGTGATGAGATCTAACGCCCATTTCGGTTGATCGGCAGGAACCATATGACCTGCATTCCGTACAAGAGCCTCTGATAAATTGTCAACAGTTTTTGTGTATCCCGCTAATTTGTCTCCGACCATCCATATCTTTCTTGGCGCTTTCGCGTATTTGCTTGCTCCGGGCCATTGCAAAGTTTTCAAGTAATTTTCCGTGAGCGGATATGCCACGATAATATCCAATTGCCCATTGTAGATGAGCACTCTATAATGTTGTACAAGATCCGTCAAGAAAGGTACTACGGACTGCATGACGTCTTCTTTCAGATGTTCCTCGACGGTGCGGGTTTCAACGTGAAAAGTACTATTGCCCACGTGTATAGCTCGTCTAACATCAGCTCTCTGGATCCATTCGGACATCCAATCGGAGTCATTGCCATCATTCGTATACAAATAGTTGTAGTAATAGTCGAAACCAGTTAGATTGCGAAATAGAGATGGCTTGCCGCTTAAATCGCCATTAAGAAGCGTATCAAACATTTCGAATGCTTCAAGATATTTCTTCTGTTTAATAAATTCGCGGCCCTTTTGTTCATACCCTTGGAACAGAGTTTTCCCGTTTGTATCTATCAATCCGAGTTGGTACAAATAATCGCTATATAACAATTGGTTCTCCGGATCGCACAATCCGTTACCAATGGCTAGGCCTTTCAAGTTAATTTTTGTTTCTGCTTTGATATTGTAATCTTTAATGGTATAAGACACTGCCGGCACATATTTCCCAGCATATGATTCACCAGTGACGAAGAAATCATTGTTTCGTAACTCTGGGAATAACAGAAAGAATTGTACGAGTGCAGAATGAATGTCCCTTCCTACTTGCGTCTCGTTTCTGACATATCCCTTATCATCACCAGTAAAACTGTAGCCAGTACCAACTGGATTATCAATGTATATCAAGTTGTGTGCTATGTTCCATGAGTATTTCCGCGTTGTTAGAGTTTTATTAGCAGTCACTATAAATGGACCATTTTCCATGAAAAGACCAAACATAGAAGTTGCCCCTGGACCACCTTGCAGCCATAGTACTACTGGTGCGGTCTTTGGATTGTGCTGCGATACACAAATAACGATAATTTTAATAATTTTAAAAATAATGTGTGAAACTTACACTCTTACTATCAACAAAATTTCTAGCAGACTTTCCATGAGATCCATTCTCGGCAGTCTTGGCTGTTAAGATAGGTTATTAATGCGCGAGGATTGCGAAGCATCACTTACCATCGCTGGAAAAAACCAGAAGAAGAGATTAGAATTGTACTCTTTATTAACTGTGAAATAACCCGAGTAACTGCTAATATCGCCCATCTCTTTGTGTTGGACGACAGCCTTCGATCGTGCCTCGTCAATCTTTCCATTTTCTATCAAAGGCGTCAGGATAAGCGGCGCACCAGCATCCTCCTTGTCGGCGAGTCGGTACTGCTTCAATTGTGGATATACATTTAAATATCCACTCGTGCTCTCGTGCGGTAACACGAGGAGCAGTGCGCTCAAAATTAGCACTAAAACGTTACTCATGTTGCTAGCTGGAAGTTACAGCTGACACTGCCTTGCTTGCCAACTTGCCATACTGATTGTGGGTACCAAGCTCAACAACTGCGTCTAAATTTATCTGATAGCGATTTGTTGACGTAATAATATCATAGACCTCTCTCTTTGTCAACAATACCATTAAATATAAGCAATAAGCTAAAATGCATAAATACCGAGATATTGTGTGTAAATCATGGCATGGAAATTTCTGTAGCTATTGACCTTCGTTGTCCATTCGAATTTAATGGAAGACCTATTATTGGCCGCGTTCAGCATGAAAAGCTGCTTTGCAACTCTCGTAAAAACCTTGAAGCTGATTGGCGTATGCTTTTAACTACGGCAGAATCTAAGAGCATACTCCAGTCAAATTTACGAATTTTATAACTGTTGCAATGTACTATAGCAGTCACTGACGTTTAGTGGGAAAGCAGTTTAGTAAGCGCTTACAATTATGACATATTTAGGTAAATTTGCATAGACGTCATAGTTCATGGTTCATTTCCTTATGCATGTACTTTGTGCTTGGACCAATTGTTTTTTATGCATATGTTTATTTTCTACAAAAATTTGTTTAAATATACTGTTAATAATATTTGATTATGATTGGTCCTGTTGAACACAACTACTATTAATAGAGATAAAGCCTCGTCTACATAGAAGTCGTAAAGTCGTAGTCGTAAGAATAGTCGACTGCGATTGGTCAATTCAGTCAGACACATAAGAATTAACCAATCATAGTCGACTATTCTTACGACTACGACGTTACGACTTCTATGTAGACGAGGCTTAAGGCCTTCACACATAAAATTCCGTAAGGACGTAAAACGTAAGCGTAAGAAAATCAACAGGTTGGATTTGCTACTGCTTGCGTCATTGCCTTACGTTCTCGACTGTGATTGGTCGATTTTCTTATGCTTACGTTTTACGTCCTTACGGAATTTTATGTGTGAAGGCCTTTAAGCCTGAAAGCTGTCACGGCCTAGTTTTACGTGGAGACCGTGGAGACCCTCTAATCAGTCTGGACATGCAGTATTCAGTTTCTGATTGGTTCGCCATGTTTATGATTTTCCCACTGAATTTTGAATTGACAATTTTAATACACTTTTATAGTTTCACAAACGACAGATTATCGTGATTGGTTTTAATGATTTTGATGCGTATTTCTTTGTCGAGGTGTTATTGCAAAATGGTGCTGCACATCCACCCATTTTTGCAATAAACAACAAACTAACACTATTATCAAACTTCGTGCGATGTGCGATTATATTTTAGATTACGCCTCGATCTGATGGTAGCTTAAAGAGTACAGGAATTTATATAAATAAGTATAAAATATTAAAGAAATCTTTTTTTGTTTAAAATCAAATGTTATTTTTTATTGCATAATGGCACAAATAAATCAATTACAATTTAACAAAAAGCAACAACAAACCTTTAGAGTCTGTTAAAAACGAATAAAGTTAAGATTATTAATGCGGGATTGCTACAACTTGCTAGTATTTTTTACATAGAAGAGGACGTTACATAAAGAAAAGCTTGTACTTCTTTTTTCTATTATGCTTTGTCCATGAGATCCTGCACAGGCAATGCACACATGATGCCCTTCTTTGTTATTTCTGCATTAGTTTCTGGTTTGGCGTCATCATATTCCACTATAGAAGAGAAAATATTATTTAAGAAACTGGTTCTATAATATTGTGTAATTATAGTATTTATATAACAAATGAAAAGAATAATACACACACACACACACACACACAAACAGACACACATATAATACATAAGTATTCTGGCGAAAGTGTTTTACTGAAAATATAATGAAATGTTGCTCAAATATATTTGAAAATATTCTCTCTTAATTGAGAAATGGTGTGAAAGTTTTTTAATATTTTTTTTATTGCAATAATCCATACGTAAATATGCAAAAGCTTGCATAGATTCCAAATAATGCGTTAAACTTCTCTTTTAAGATATAAAACTGTAATTGTTTATCCGTATATTAAGCGAGGGTTGCATTTTATTTCAAAATAATGGTTAACAGTGTCGTTTGCGCGCATGCTTAATAGTGCACAGTTGAGTATGAGTACAGAATATTCGAATGATATCATGTGCTGCGTGGGTGTGCGTTATATAACATAATATAATATTATATATGAAAAATAATAATAAAATAATGTGAAATCTAAATAATAAAATGTTTATTACTTTCATTATAGCACTTGCGGATAGCTTCCTTCGCTTGGTTTCTCTTGGCTTCGTCATTTATAAGATCATCATATAATGCAAGACCCTTGTCTAACATATATTTACCCGTTGCATCGATCTGGAATCAATAAATTCACAATTTAAAATTATATATTTTAGACATAAAACTGAAAAAGAATATTTTAAATTCTGATAGAAGTCACTCGTATTGTACTGTACGTACACAGTTTCATTAATATTAAT